TGTCGTGCAAGTGTCTGTTTTCAAGCGAGACTGGTTTTCAAAATATCAGAAATATTTTGAAAAGCACGTTGTGAAATCCCTATTTGAAATGTGGTAGAACTTGTGTGTTATAATGAATAAACTGCGTTGGCTCTGGCGAATGAGTCATACAAATACAAAGTGCTAGTACAATATAGTATAGTAATGATGATCTATTGAGTAAGTAACAAGCAGAGTTGGTAGACCGGTGTCTCTACGATAAGAAATACGGTACTAACTGTACTGCCAAGAGAAGTTACATCAAAATACCTAGTCTCTGAATGCATGGACAATGCATTCAATTTGTCCAACATAGGCAGAGAACAATAAAGTAGAAAGGAGCTATCAGAGAAGGAATTAAATGTTCAATGTGTTTAACTACCAACATTTTCACGGGACGTTTGCGGGAACTTACTTGTGTGTGTTCTGATAACGAGGTTTCTTGCGTACGATATATTCCGATTGGAATTTCACACGTTGTAGAGCACAACTTCTGGTAAAGTCGACCGTAAGTTCTGATCCACATATCGTCTTTGGTGATCTTCATCTGAGAAAAGTAAACACAGAAGAATAACTTCAAGCCTGGTATAGTGAGTACAAAGACGGCCTCCAAAGCGGCATGTCACTTACCGAGGTGAGGAAGCCCGAGCCAGGAGCTTGGTCAACACCAAGCAGAAGGCGAACAAAGGTGATCACGTAGTCTTTGACGAAAGCCTGATACAGCAAAGTATCGAGCATGGAGGCGGAGAAGACTGTCCCCGCAGCGAACGGTAGTCGGAACATGTATGATATGTGTGATCCCCGCTCCTTCTCGCGCTGCGAGTAGCAACACGGTAAATTGTTAGCAGGTGATTGACCTGAGCTGCCTTCGGTCTAAAATCAACGTAAAAAAGTTTTATACATTTTCTATAAAGTTTTACTTTTGTCAAGAAAATTGCTACGATGAGTAGACCGAACTGCACAGACGCTGATATGAAAAAGAAAAGAAAGCGAAGCAATTGGACCCTTTAGTGTACAAAAAAGTCTTTCGAAAAAGTAATAAAGATGGCTGTCGACTGCATCTGAAATCTAACGGGTGAACGCGGGCAGCATGACAAGAGCGAGTTGGGTAGTGAACCACAGCCCAGAAAGACGTTATAGCTCTCCTATATTCGCTGATACCGGGTCAAATTATCTACCACATTATAGCGGCCAAAATCTTGCTCTAGAAAAGGCTAAATAAAACTCTTTGTACATAACACTACAACAAGCCGACAAAACAGCACACTGAATTACAAAAAGAATTATCCTAGCATCAAACGATTCTATATGCTATTTATTAAAAGCATGCGAAATACAGTAAATACGCGACAATTGATTTAAAGGTAAAACTTTTTATGGGGTAATTGAATTTGTTATTTCTAGTATTAGATAAGATTTGCCGATCATTTCATCCAGACTGGTTCGACCTACGTTGTGTTTTTGATACCTCGGTCACGGTGATTGTGGCGTTTCTGGATAGCTATTAATATATAGAGGAACAATGAACGTTTTTTAAAAACTTCGAGACAAACATCCATTAAATAAGTAACGCATATGGCATGCATCACTACCCAACGTCTAATGAAAATGCAAATGCAATTGTGAGGCCAATGAGCCACATTAAAAAAATGTGGATGTGTTGAACGGAAAATATCACGCAAGTCCACGACGAATTTGTTACGGGGCAGTGGTTCCCGCTGAAAGCGGATATCCCGCGTGGCTTTCTACTCTAAAGTGAGTCTGTACAGTCCGCAGCAAAAGGAAGTTGGAGAGTGAAAGTCAGTTAATTCTAGTCCAGCCTAAGTTTGATTCATTCAAATATTACTTTACGGCGACAACGACGCCAGACACTACGGCAGAAGTGTGAAAACAAAAAAAAAGATACGCTAAGTACATACGTTTGATGCCTCACTGTGGCCTTCGCTCGAGCTCGCCGCGCTGAACGCGCCGAACAATCCCCTCCGCTTTTGGCTCGTGGCGCTCCCAAAATTCATTGGGGATATGTAATTCTTGAGTAAAGTGAAAGAATGGTGGATTTCACAACTCAATCCAAAATCAAGTGGCACGGTAAAACGACTTTCCCATCCCATTTTGCTGCAGACGCCTGGGGTCTTTGTCCATGTGTACCCAATCTAAAATGAATGTCCGAGAAAAACCTCGGCCGTTCGAATAGATACGACAAAGGGAAATAGGCATGCAACATGACATGTCCATGAACGCCAGCCAAACACAAAGAAAGCCGAATGGTGAAGAGTCATGACGTGGATGAAGGAGTAAAGCCGACGTCTCAAAACAACAACCCTTCTTTCACCCGTGGCTATAGAACGCTTCTAGGTGCAAGCGGCGCTTTGTCGCACACACGTTATTGTCCCTGAATCTACACAGTTTCGAACACGTATCCGTTAGTTCGACCAGAGTAGATCTAATGCCCCAAACAGAAATGCAGCGCCTAATTAAGCTATGTTAGTATCTACAGACAGACCGTGTCGGAACAACTCTTCCACCCACACCATGCACCCGCACCCGAGGGCGGAAAGCTCACCTTTTCCATCTTGGAGAGGTGCAGGGCGTACTTGTCCTGCGCGCGGAACTGCATAAACCTCATGTTGGACGACTGCGAAAGCTCCGTGATGCTCTTGATGCTCGGGAAGTACTTGAACATGGTCTGCACCGCCACAATGGTGTTGCAGTCAGCCAGCGTGTCCTCCTCGGCCGAGTTGGACAGCTCCTTGTTGACCACCACGACGTTCTCGGCCAGCGTGATTCCCGCGCGCAACAGGTCGTCCGTGCTGCAGACAAGTAATGCCGTTAAGCGGGCGTCTGCGGAGGACGGGGTGGACGCGTGGGGTACTTCACGCTAAATTCAAGCGACCACCAGTTTTCCTACTTTATCCCTTTTCCCTCTGATTTTTTTTTCGTTTCCCCTGATTTGTTTTAGAGGGTGTACACTTTTTTTTTGTGAGTGAAGGACCCCCGGGTGCACCTGCAGCACCTACCAGTCGATGGAGCCGAGCATCCAGTACACTAGGGGGAAGTAGGCGAGCGCGTCCAGGAATACGAGGTCCGGCCGCCTCTCCAGCAGCAGGATGATGGGGTGCAGCGAGTTTTTCGAGCGGAAATGCGCGCGCAGCGGGATAATGAAGTTGTAAATACCGTTGGACGCGTAGTCCGCCGCCAGTATTATGGTCTTGTTTTGCCAGTTGTACTCGCGCGCGTTCCGGTAAGAGCAGTGCTCGCAAACCTGTCGGGAAAATAAATGACAAATTACTCAGCCTAGTCCCCAATAAAATCAGAACGGGGACCTCAGCGATGGAGGTTACAACGAACCTGAGCGAGTTGCAGGCAGCATAGAGGTTTCTTTTCTTTGAGCAGGTAACACAGCGTCGGGGTCACGCCGATATATGGGGACACGGGAGGGAAGCCCTTGACAATCCTGCAAAACGAAAACAGCGTGTGAGGTGGGGTGGGTGCAAAAGAGAAAAATGGGTTCTAAATAGTTCAATAACTTTACACAACAGAGCCCTCTTAAAACAAATAGGAACTGGCAAATTGATTTTTTCATCTTTGAGCACTTGTTTCGGGCTTAATAAAACAAAAGCAATATTCTACACGAACACGTTTTTATTTTATGTTAGTTCTATCATAATGTCTAGCAATTGTAAACCCCTAACTAGTCTCTTCCGAAAGAATAAGCAAAGTAGATAGATTAAACGCATTTCCCAGTGAGAAAGCAAACGTTAAGAGCCATAGAAAAGGTACAACGGGAGTACCAAGTTAAGCGTTTTGGATTTTGAGAAGAAAAAAGAAGGAAAAGAAAGAACAAAGTTATGTAGCGCACTAACATCAATTATTGAAAAAGAGTAATAACTTTTGTTCTAGAGAGGCAACTAACTACTCATGCTGCACAGGAAGAAAGAAATAGGAGGAGGAAAGGATAGACTTACCCGGACACTTCAATTTGCCAGGCAGATTTAGAGCAATGGACATCTTCCACTGTGCTAGAGCTTGATACCAATCTGAAGGCATACGGAGGGGCATACTAGACAGTGCAAGGACCAATGCAAGGTATTGCATCATTGCTAAAGGCATTCCGTCTACAGAACTCAGTCTGCTTACAAGAAGCAGCTATTTTCAGCCTCAAGATTTTGAGTGACGTCTCAAATCAATAACTCGAGAAGACATTATGAGGCAAGATCAACGGTAGAAGAGACGACTTTCAACAAAGTCAACGGGGCAAAGTCAGCGTTTAGAAGAGTCAGATTAATCAATACTGAGCTTAAGATCCGTTCCAAAATTACGGGAATCATTCTAAGGTATAATTAATAAGAAAGGAAAAAAAGGCGAAATGTGACGATAGAAATATGACTGAAAGCGAAGCGGTAATGTTCGGTGCAGGGGTGTAGTGCTTTTCAGAATTTTCGGAGAATAAGAATTGCAATCAAACCGCAGACAACATTCAAAGCAGGTGGGGCCGTCTTATGTACAAAATTGATTTACGGGAAAGTGATGCTCTATGTCACCCCAAACATACTGGGTGGAACAGGTGACATGATGCAGAGCAGAGCGGTCCATGATGTCCGCGAGGGATGAGATGTAAGGAGCGATTGGTGACAATGGTGAATAGAGAAAGAATATAACGGGAACATAATCAGACACTCACGCAATTTTTTCTGACGGCGATCTCCACGGCACATCGTCGTCCACCTCGTCCTCGCTCTCGTCACCCTCCTCCTCTGCGGTGTCCGTAGAGATGTTGAGCGCCGAGCTCGTGAACATGTCTGGCACGGGGAGTATGCTCGGTCTCCGGCTTCCTGAAACAAAACAGCAATGACATTCTCCCTCGATTTACTGTCAACCAAGCTGCTACGCAGGAAGCATCAACAGTGACCAACCTCTTCGCTGGTTGAGGATCTCCGGGCTAAGCAGGTTGGGGTTCTCGCCTGGACGGGGCACGTCCAGATGGTTCCCCGTGGGGGTCGCCTCCGGGGCGGCAGGGGAGGGGGGCGCAGCGCGCACATCAGTCTCAATGGGTACTGGAATCCAACGCACGGGAGCATGATTTAAGGTGTGGAACAAAATGAGGCGAAAAGTGTGAATGCTGAAGTAACGAACCTGTACAGTCTTTTGGCTTGTCTTTGTGAGTCGAACCACTGTCCTGTGCAGGCTGCTGGTTCGCCACCACAAAGGCTGAGTTCTCCTCCTTGGTGATGCTCATGTAGTAGCACGTGTCCGTGGCCTTCATGATGTGCCTTGGTCCCGGGTTCAGCAGGATCGTCTCCTCGTAGAACTCGGGCAGCTCGGCCGGCCGAACCGCCACAAGCGCCACGCCGTACCTGTGCGCACAACCGAACGCATTGTTTCAAAGCCGGTCTGCAAAAACACTTGCGGCCCTCCCACAGCGCTGCACACTGACGCGCAACTCATTGTTCCACGGACGCAAATGAATAAGGTGAAGTTGAGCTGGCCCCCCAGCGGCGCGCCAAAGAATACTCTGCACCTCCTCATAAATACGATGGTCCGAGCATCGCAGCGTCCCGAAGTTGGCAGAAGTTGGCCGTCCTGACGGGACGAGCGCGCACCTCCGAACTAAACTGCGAACTTTGAGTGGCAGAGTGCCCCCCTGGCCTCCTGCCCCATCCCCTCTCGCCTGATGGCGACCTCTTTGTTAATCCAACTACAAGGAGCTGGGCCCGTCGGGCGTATGGCCTAGCCTCTAGACGTCCTGTTGCAAAGCAATATACTCACTTTCTGTGCGAGTGAAAACTGGCGTAGGTGAAGCTCTTGCCCTCGTACTCGCCAAAGAACCGGCTGTCCTGCAGCACGATGTGGTAGATCTCGTTGCCCGAGCAGCGGCCGTACAGGCGGTGCCAGTCCTCGGGTGAGGTCTGGCCTTCCCTGGAGACAGGACACACGGCAGTCAGAGGGAGAGAAGCAGACATCCAGACGCGACACGACCAAATTGAGGTATTTGACATCATGTTGACGCGTCAAAGTAGCAGGTTTAATTTATCTTTACTTTCGTGTGATTGCGTGCCTATTTTGGTGTTGGGTGGACAGGACAAATATGCGTTTCACGGACGGACGGAAAAAAGGAGAGGGTAAGTTATATCCGCCGGCGTCACCGATGACTACTATCTGATTGGCAAGAAAGTTTGGCAGCCAGCGGGGTGCGCGCTGCAGACTGTGGGTCAAGAGTTGTGTCATCTCCCGTTTCCACACTCAACAATATTTCATTTGCGCGCGGGCAACTCTTCCGTCCGCGGGGCCGGGGCCTTCTGGTTCGCACCGCCGCCACCCCGTTTCACCGACGAGCGTCATCAGCAGCACAACTCTGACAGGACAGTGCGAGAACTCTCATGACAAAGGTGAAAGTGAAAATGTAGGCTTGGAGTGGGGGCTCGTCGTCGTGTAGTGAGTAGACCGTCCAGCCCGGTCCCGTCGGGCCACAGCAAAGGGGGACGACGATGGGCGGAAGCGGAGAGGGCAGGGAGGGGGG